GGAGTGAGCAGGATCCGCTCCCCCAGGCTCCCATTGGCTGCGGGTTAACCCTTTTGAAACGAGATCCTCCCTCCCATTGGCTGCCAGGCTCCCCTCTTCTCCCCCAACCCCCATCCCCTCCGCCTCCCGACAGCCCGCGAGGTCAGGGCGCTCCCGGGCGCCCCCTCCCCAGGCCTCCTACCCCGTCCGCACCCCGGTACGCCCCACTCCCTACTCTCTCCATCACGCGCGCCCCCCACAGCGCTGCAGGTGAGGGCAGGTCCATTTCCCGCCAAATGTGGCCCAGGGCTTGGCCTGGCAGGAGCCCTGTTCCCAGGTGCCCCTTGCGGGGGACTTGCCGACCTGGGAAGATGCAGGGGGCGCAGTTTCCTGCCCCCTCCTACCTCTCCTGGACCAGAAGTGCCCCCCCAGCGGGGAATCCGCGCGGCCTCAGCCTCGCCCCAGGCAAGCGCAGAGCCCAGGGAGTGCTCCTGGACCAACCGGCCTCCAGGGCCGGCCAGCGAGGGGGCAGCTCCCGAAAGATCTGGGGCTCTTCAGAGGCTAATTCCCTCAGTGCCCGGGGGCAGGTCTGACCCCACGAAGAATGTGCAGCACCTGGAGCTCGCTCGGGCATAAACATCCCCGGGAGCAGCCCCGCCGCCTGACCCGGCGCTGGGCCCGCGGGGGGCTCTGGGCTGGGAGTGGGGAGAGGCGCGGAGGAAGGAGGCGCCCGGGGGCAGGGTACCTTTTCTGCAGGCCCAGATCTGCCCCGAACGTGCTTGGGGAGGTCATAGTCCCTCTCCGTGCCTCAGTTTCCTCATTTGTCAAAGATTGGCCTAGAACAGCGATTTTCAACCGGCCTGCCGCAAGGGTTTTTAAAACACCCAGTACCTGACTACTGAGTCAGGGGCATTGACCTCTTTTCCCTTAGATTGTTAAATTAAAAATGACAACAGCTGTCTGGTGTGAATGAATCAAAATTAAACCTTTTTTTTTGGTCAGATCGGCAAAAAATACATTTTTTGGTGTGCCACGGAATTTTAGTGATTAGTTTATGTGTGCCGTGGGATGAGAAAGGCTGAGCATCGCAGGTCTAGAAGACCACTGTTCTGTAGAAGTTTCTGTGTGAAGATGGACGTTGGTCTGTGTCTGTGTTCATCGGATATGGTAGCCACTAGCCACATGTGGCTATTGAGCACTTGAAATGTGACTCCTGATACTGAGGAACTGACTTTTCAATTTTATTTGATTTTAGTTACTTTTAAATAGCCGCATGTCGCCAGCAGCTTCCCTATGGGACAGCGCAGGTCTAGAATTCTTGTTAGGGAAAAAAATCCCTTCTCTTCCTCCTCAGGTACAAAACCTTCCAGCTCCAAATCACAGTTCACCAAGGGCCTCGACACCCAGGCAAGGTTCCAGTCCCTGCCGCCTTGGTCAGGAATCCTTTCCTTATGGCTGTCATCTCTGTTCTGACAAGGGAGCTGAGATACACACACCCAGGACACAATAGGAGGTCAGGGCTAGCAGGAACCTTGCAGGTTTTGTCCAACTTTCCTGTTTCTTCAAGAATAGAAACCAAGATATTGATGGGGCGAGGGTGGGGGGTGTCACTTGCTCAATGGCAAGAAGCAGGTTATGTTCGCTTACAAGTTAACACGCACCATAAACTTAACACATCTCTTTGGGGCTCTGCGCACGCGCGCACACATACATCATTAAGTTCACTCAATAAGTGTGCTTCTCTGACCCAGGCCAACTGTGAACTGAGGCTGAAATCAGCCAGGATGGCTGAGACCAAGGGATAGCCAGCTCCATGGGAGGGCCATAGAGAGCCTCTGACAGCGGCCTGAGCTTGTACAGTATTTGTCCAATCCCCACTTCCAGTGGGCCTGTGTTATAGGTGAAGGGGGAAGACAGAGCTGCCTGGGGAATGGCTTTTGTCCTCAATACTTCTTTACTACTAGGTGGTAATGGCTAAATGACTTGGCTGGTGACAGGCAGACAAGGTGTTCAGAGGAGGGAAGGGTTGCTCCCAATAGAGAATGGAATCTAAGAAGTCTTCCTGGAGTAAGTAGCATCTAAGACTTGGAGAACAGAAAGGACTTAGATGGAGAAGATAGGAGGAAGGAGACAAGGAAATGCCAAGGAGAGGAAACAACAAACACAAAGGCTGAAAGGCAGGGAAATGGGATGTGTTCAGGATGGAAATTCAGGGGGAACCTACATTGTATGACGGGGAACGGCGAGGATGGAAAGGCACACTGGGACAGATCGTGGAGGTCTTGCACACTTCCCTCGAGCCCCTTGCTCAACTCCCATGACATCATTTTTCTAGGAGATGCCCTTACCCTTTTCCCTGCCAAGAGACACATCCCACCTCTTCATCCAGCGACCTCTTGCCTCCACCCTTTGCTTTCTGCTGCTTCTGCCTTAGCCTGCAGGACCCCTTCCCAGGGCAGAGTGGACTCCAGTACCCCATCAGGGGATGAACTGTACTCGGTCCCTCTCAGATCAGCCTCCAGTCTCCGGATTCCCCGTGTCCAGGGGTGAGCCGCACAGAGGGAGCTTCCTTTTTCACCCTCCACCTTTCAAACCCTTCCTTGGCCCCATCCTTTCACAGGGAAGTCGGAAAAGGGAGCCAGAAACAGCTAGACATGGTCCAACCTGTTATAAGAGTGTAAAAAGAAATTTACCCAGGAGCTCTTTGGCTCCTTGCCACCCCACCCCACCTCCACATCCTTCCCTCCTCCTCTGGGAGTCCCATAATGCGCCCGGGGTTTGCAGTAGCCTCCCTTCCCTGCTGTCCCCACAGCAAGTTGAGGACCAGTCTGAAGCTACCCCCTTTGCCCTTTCCCCAATGCCCAGAGTCCTACCCAGATCTCTGTCTGGGTACACCACATGGAATTCTGTAATTGCGAGATGGGAAGACCCCTGCCTCTCAGAAGGACTGAATCTGAAATACTGGAGAAGGGTTGCCTTCCTGCTTAAATGTCAACAGAGGTAACTTGGTCGGTAATCACATGACTCCTAATTCACTGAGATGATAGAGGCCTGGCCCTGTGAGCCTCTTCAATTTCCCCTCCTTCCACAATAAGGCATCTCTGTATCCTTAGTCCTGCATCTCTCAACCACGTACATGTCTGGGCACTTCCTGTGTGGAAGGTTCTGGAATCATTGCTGGGAAACATTCCTGGCCCCCCGAGGTGCTCACAGTAGGGGAGCACACAGCGAACACACAAAGAGGAAGTCAGACTGCAACAGTGCGCCAATAGATGCAAGAACCCTCTTTCTGAGGCAAAGCCATTCCCCTGAGGTCTTGAGCCTCTTCTTGCTTCATCAATTGCCCCATTTATTGCATTTCCAATCCCTTTCCATGAGCCTAGAGCAAGGGTCAGGCAGGCTGTAGCCTACTAGCCAAATCCTGCCCTCTGCTTGTTTTTTTGTAAATAAAATTCATTGGAACACAGCCATGTTCATTTGGTTACATATTGTCTCTGGCTGCTTTCACACTACAAAGGCAGAGTTGAGTGGTTGCAACAAGGCCCTATGGCCACAAAGCCTAGTATATTTACTCACTGGCTCTTAACAACAAAAGTTTGCCAACATCTAGTTTGTGGGAAGTTTGGGGCCTTGTTATCTCAGAAAGTTGTAACAGAACTTAAGAAAAACAACTGAAATTACCTTGAGATTAGAGCAGAAGGACAGAGCCCAGACTTTTTCCCACAGACTACACATGCTCAAGTCTTTCCACAACCTACCGTGAAACTTCAGCAATGCTGCTTGGTTTTCTATATCCCTCCTACCTCTCCCACCCAGTCTTAAATCCATGCAGTCTGGCTTCTGCCCCTAATTTCCACTAAAAGAGTTCCCACTGGAACCACCGATGACCTCCTCATTATTGACCCACCATTCTTCTCTCAGGCCTCATCACACACAACCTCTCTTTTGCATTTGCCTCCATTAACTATATCAGTCTTGAAATGCCCATTGCCTCTGGGTTGGATTGCCTCCTACCTCTGCCACGATTCCTTCTCAGGTCCCTTCCTGTGGGTCTTCTTCCTTCCCGTGCTGCCTAAATGCACACTTCTGCAAGGATCTGACCTTGGCCCTCTTCTTCCTCCATGCTCTCTCACTGGACAAAATCATCCACGTGCCTGAGTTTAACAACCACTTCTATTTTGGTGGCTTCCCAATATACAATTTCTGAATTAAAGATGCCTAGGTTGCTAACAGAAGGCTATGCCTCCTCAGACACATGTCTTACTGACCAGACAAGCTGAATTTGTTCAACATCAAACCAACTTCCTACATCTCTGCCCTAACTTAATCACCTTTGTCTCTTTTTCCATCCGCCCATTAATTATTGCTGTTCCCAAGAGACCTGCCCAACACTTTTCTCTTTGGGGGTGATTTCACCCATTCTTACAGTTTCATCACTGGGCATGAGTTACTGCCCAATCTCCATCTCCAGGTGTGCTTGCAGCTACCTCCTTAGGATCCCAAATAGATGTGTGAGGTAGACGCCTGGTGCCTTTGCCTGCCCAGATTCCATCTCCCTTCCAGTAACTACACTTTAACTTTCCTTTGGGGAGACAC